CACTCCTTTTTTTTTTTTTTTAATTAATGTTTGCATATTATATCCTTTTTCATTCTTTTACTTCTAAGTTATCTCCATCATTTGAAGTAAGTTTATGGTTGGCTCATGTTTTTTAATATACTCTGCCAATTAGTCTTATAACTGATATATTTAGACCATATATGTGACTGTGTGGCTCTGGTAGCGTAGTGGTTACTGTAAGGAGCTCTGGTAGCGTAGTGGTTACGAATCGGGCTGCGAACCTTAATGTCAGCGGTTCGAAACTACCAGCCGCTCCGCGGGAGAAAGATAAGGTTTTCTACTCCCGTAAAGATTTACACCCTCGGAAACCCTGTACAGGGTCGCTTTGGGTTGGAACCGACTCGATGGCACTTAACAACAACAATGTGACTGTAATTACTGATATGCTATATCTGATTTTTTTTTTTAGCTGTTTGCTTGTTTGTATGTTTTGTTTTTCCTGCCTTTCTTTGGGTTACTTAAACACTTTTTAGAATTCCAATTTGGTTTCTCTATACCATTTTTGAGTGTGTTGTAATATACTTTGTTTATCGGTTACTTTAGGTGTTACATTAATATACTGAACTTATCATAGACTTCTAGTGTCATCAATTTACCACTACTAGTGAACTTGTCAGGAGGGACCAGTCTCTGGAGAAGGATATCATGTTTGGTAAGGTGGAGGGTTAGAGATAAAGAAGACGACCCCCAACGAGATGGATTGGCCAAGTTACAGCATCGATGGGTTCAAGCGTGGCAACAGTAGTGAGGTTGGCCCAGGATTGGGCAGTGTTTCATATGTTGTGCTTAAGGTCTCTGTGAGTCAGTACTGACTCGATGGCACCTAACAAGAACAACAACAACAACAACAGTGAACAATAGAAACTTTAATTCCCTTACATTTCTCTGAGTTCTCGCATTTATAATTATTTAAAGTATTTTCTCTATATATGTTTAGAACCACAATAGAATTTTTGCTTCAACTACTAAATATAATTTAGAAAACTCAAGAAAAAAAAAAAAGACCTATTATATTTACCCGTATTTTTTTGTTGTTGCATTCTTCCTTCCTTCCTGATACTCCAAGGTTTCTTATATCCTTTCTGTTTAGAGAACTTCCTTTAGCCATTCTTTTAGGATACATTTACTGGCAACAATGTCTTGATTTCTTGTCATTCTTGAAAAATATTTTCACTGCACAGAGGATTCTGGGTTGGCAGCTCATTTCTTTGAGTAACTGAAAAATGTTGCACTTATTTTGGGCCTGTATGCCTTCTGATGAGAAATCTTTTCCCTCAGAGCTTTTAGGTGGGTGTCCAGATTTCACATGGGGTCTCTTCTAACACCAGGGTGGAGGTGCCGAATGGGAGTTTGAGGGAGTCATCTCCGTCTCATAAGATGTGAGTCTTGATTTCCTATTCAGCCTTCTCTGAGACCACCCAGTGTGGGGATTGTGTATCTTATTGTAGCCCCCAGAGGTGTGAATCTTGGGCTCCTCACTTGGCTTTTGCTGTGGGATTGAGGACTAGAGCCAGTTTTTCTGAGGTGTTTGTCTGGAGTAGAGTAGTTATTGTCTAGAAATGCTCTGTCTTACTAAGCTGCCCCTTTCTAACTTTTCACTAGTGAGAGCAAGCTTTTCATTGAGGCTTTTATTTATTTATTTTGGTATGCATCTTTGGTGTGTTCTGTTTACCAGATTCTTTAACTTCCAGTTGGGGATATTTAAAGCCAAAAGAAAACTCTGGAAAGTAACCACAGCTGTCACTCCCTGGGTCCCAAATCCTAGCATATTTAACTGCGTCTCTGCTCCTTTTAGAGTTTTTTATGCTTGTTCTCCTTAACATGTCTTAGTTATGTTTAGCAGGAGGAGTAGAAAAAAGTGTTCCTCCATCTCCCCGAAGTGAAAGTCCATGTACAGGTGTGTATAAATAAAGTTCAGACCTTGTGCTATTTCATCTTTAAATGCTTACCTCCTAGGAATAAAGACATCCTTCTGCCTAGCTACCATTATCACATACCATAAATTTGACATGGATATAACATTATCTGATACACAATCCATATTAAAATCCCTTCACTTCTCTCCAAAGTGCTCTTTATAGTTGGTTTTCTCCTAATCCAGGATTCAATTCAGGATTGTACTATGCAATTTTTTTTTTTTTATCTTGTAGCAAATCTCTTGACCTTTTTATTCTGTTGTATTTATTTTATCTTTTATTACTTTGGCACTTAAAAAAATATTTTAAGGCAAGCAGATACCTGACTTTATTGGACCCACATCTGGATTTGTCTGTTTTCATTGTGATTGGAGTCAGGTCAGCTGTTTTGGCTAGAATACTGTGTAGTGTCATATGTTGTATCTCTCTCATTACACTGGTCAGAAAGCATTAATAATAAGCTTGATTGTTTGGGTAAGGTGGTGTCTACTAGATCTTTTCATTGCAAAGGCATCTTTTCCTTCTTTAAAATTAGTAAATAATCTGTGAAGTAGAGATGGTTACTTTTAAAGCCCTTAAATATTTTTCTCTTTTAAGTACCAAAACTCCTAGGTTTTCTTTATAGTAGAATTACAGTTAATAAATGTAGGGAAACAGAAGATTGCCACTCGGCAAACACCACAGTAACAACTGTTATAGGCAAGAGTTATCAGTGGAAGTGGGGAATTAGTGGGCAGAGGATATTTATACAGTTGCAAAGTATCCATCTACAAGATGCTTGTCGATTACAAAGTAGATGTGCAGTACAGAAGCCAGCTTAACCAAGAGATCAAAGTTAACATTCTCAATAATAAGACTTGTCGGACATCACCTTTGTGATATTCTGACCAGATCTGCCTATTCTCAGTTTATTCATGAGAAAATATCAGACAAACCCAAATGGAAGGATATTGTACAAAATAGCTGATCAGTAACCTTCAAGACGGTCAAGGTCAAGAAAGACAAGAAGTATTACAGATGGGAAGTGACATGGAAACTAAATGCAATATGGAATCCTGGATTGGACCCTGGACTAGAAGAAGGACTCTAGTGTGTCAACTGGAAAAACTCAAATGAAGTCTGTAGATTAGTTAATGGTACTGTACCAATTTTCTGGTTTCAGTAAGTATATAATGGCCATGTGATGTGAACATTAGAGGGGAACAGAGTAAGTGGTATGTGGGTTGTAACTTTTTTCTAGGATTACATATTTAAGAGAAAAAATTATTTTTTTTCTTATTTCAAGTTACATTAAGTTTTTAATTCTATAGCAAAAATCACAGATCAAACATCCAATTAATTTTTCTTGAATAGCAGTCTTCTTTCTAAACAAGCAGAGTTTTAATTTGTATAAAAACTAAACAGGTTTAGCAAAACATGTCTGTGTTCTTTTATGCACTGTAGCAAACCCTGTTGTCCTTCATAGTGAAGCTTGGCTGGATACAGTTCCACATAAAGACCGACACTTTGTTTGTAATTCCTATACTTACCATGTTGTGAATTTGGTAACTAATTGAAAACAGTTCATTTATTCAACATTTTTTTTAGAACACTTAAATTATATGTCAGGCAGTCATGTTGGCACTGGAGAGAGAAATGAGTGAACAAAACAGTTAAAAATCTCTCCTTTCTTGAAGCTTGGAATGTGTCACAGGATGTAGAAAATGAGCACATTTTTGTATGTATCTAGTATGTTTCATTCTGTTGTATATAGGGTCACTATGAGTTAGAATTGACTCAATAGTATCTCACAAGAAGAAGAACAACAGCATAATAATATGTTGTAAAGAAAAATAAAGCAGGAAAGGATGAATTCCAAGATTCTTCCAAAATTACACTCTTATTCTCTGTTCCCTTTTTCTGCTTTATCTTTTTCACCATTTTGTTGTTGTTGTTAAGTGCCATCGAGTTGATTCCGACCCATAGCAACCCTGTATAGGGTTTCCAAGGAGCAGCTAGTGAGCTTGAACCACCGACCTTGCAGTTCAAATGACCTTGCAGTCTGACGCATTAGCCCACAGCGCCACACCATATGGTATATGTTAAAAGGGTCCCTGGTGATGTAGTGGGTTATGAGTTTGGCTGGTAACCACAAGGTAAGCAGCTCAAATCCACCAGCCGCTCTGTGAGAGAAAGCTGAGACTTTTCGACTCCAGTAAAGATTTACAGCCTCAGAGACCCTATGCAGGGTCACTCTAAGTCAGAACCAACTCAGTGACTGGGCTTATTTTTACTAGAGTATAAGGTCCACATGAGCAAGGGCTTTATCTGTTTTGTTGTTGTTGTTAAGTGCTGTTGAGTTGGATCCGACTCTTAGTGATCCTGTATAGGGTTTTCAAGGAGTGGCTGGTGGGTTTTAATCGCCAACCCTGCAGTTAATAGTTCAGTGGTTATCCTACAGTGCTACATCAGGACTCCATTCTCTGCTTCACTCAGCTAAAGAATCATGCCTGATTTGTAGCTGGCCCTCTATAAATATACTCATGGAATGAATTCTCACTCAAATGTTCACATATACCTTGCACTCAAATGGGGGATTGGTAAGTATTTGTTGATTCTAGTAATATTCAGATGCAGGTAATTTAAGATAATAGTCCATTTTGATGAATAGTTTATGTGAGATTTTTGCACTATTGGGGGTGAGAGTGGGAGGTGTGAATGTTTCTTAGTTGCCTGTCACCTTGGAAAATTTACCCAGTCTGTTTGCAAAGGAGTAATCCAATTATACTTCTATCTTAAATATAATACACAATGCTTTTTCCTTTGAAAAATGAAAAACATAAAAGGAAAAATCTATTTTCCTCTTAAGCTGTGGCACTTTCATTGCTGGGTGTCCTTTCTAGGTTACATTATCTTATCCTGAGATGAAAAATCCCCTCTCCCACTCTTGTAATTTACTCTGGCCTGTTTTAATTCCATACTAGGTTCATCTGTTTCTTTTCCTGTAACCCTAATCATCTTTCATTTTTGTATTTTGAACAGTGTTATTTGCTTGTCTACTACACTGGCTGGCGGAATGTCAAGTCCTTTTTGACTTTGGGTTTAATCTGTCTGTGCAATATGTATCTTTATGAACTACGCAACCTCTGGCAGCTTTTCTTTCATGTGACTGTGGGAGCATTTGTCACACTGCAGATCTGGCTGAGGCAAGCCCAGGGCAAGGCTCCTGATTATGATGTCTGACACCATTCTTCAGATGAATTGCCTTGACGTTAGGAGACAAAAGAGGGAGCCTATCTTAACTGCCACTGTGATGAAGAAACTGCTCACCACAGACAAGAAGCTCTGCTTTCTTTTCTCTCCTGCCTTCTTTTGTTTTAAATCAGCATGGCATGCCTGTGAACATGCAAAACCTGCCAGGCAAACTCCTCTCAGAAGACTGTTGGCTGCAAGCTCATCATTCAGGAGGCTTCTCTCTGAACCACCAAAACGTGGAAGAACAATCAGACGCCACTAGAAGACTTGGCCAGCAGTCTTGAATCCTTGCTGAAGGGGTTCAGGCACAGTATACATGTGATCCTTGCTCTGAAGACCAAGCAGGAACTGTACAACATGGTTTGCCTTTGTGAGGCATTAGTATAGACCAAATAAAAAGATGGTGCAGTCAATTGGAAAGCTTGCATTGAAAACAATGACTTGCTAATTATTCTATTATTTACACATTTGTGATACCATAAATTTATAAGTCCAGGAGGGTGTGGAATTGGCTCTTTTTCCTTTTACAGTTTTGCTTGAATCATTTCCAGAAATCACCAGATGTGGAAGAACTCTGGTGAGCTCATCTCTGGAATGTCATAAGTATTGAAAGTACAATAATACGTGTTTTCTCTGTAGACCACTTTTGTCGTCTCTTTTAAGTCACTTTTTTAAAACATGATTTGTTTGACTATCCCCATTGTTTCTCAAACTTTAATCACTTAAGGACTGCCAAACTGTTAATAATTTCTCTTTTAAATTTTAAATATTGTAAAAAAAAAAAAAAAAAAAAAAAATCTTCCGTAGAAAACCAGTATCAATTTGCCATAAATAAAAGCCACAAAATAATAAAAATTGAAACAACAATAAAAGTTACTAAATTCTAGCTAATGCCTGCCTAGGCTGTGACACTGAGAAGGCACTCTTTCTTACAGGAAAAGAGAGGGACTACCCAGCACCAATATGAAGCTTTCTCTGGGATAGCCGGGAGGGTAGAAAGGGAATGATGTTCACACTGTGATTTAGCAGTACTTAATTTCATGTTGTGTACCACCTCAAATGTCAATGTACCATCAGTAGTATGGAAAACACTTGACTGTCTTAAAAATATCAGTCTTTTCTCACAATAACTTGTATTATTTTATGGCTTTGTGGAATTCAGCACCTATTAGTCTCTGAGAGAACGTACATACCCTCTTGTTTCCATTATTAAAGATTGTTCAAGGCTTTACGAATTAATGTCAGGAGCACAGTTGGATTCTATTAGCAAATCTCCAGCTCTCCAGCTTTGCTTTGGGCATCGTCGTCATGGTGGATTCTTTTCTTTTAAAGCAAAGATTCTAAGTTAGGAATTCACAAGATACTAGACAGTGGATCCATTACATGGAATTCATGTTACTGAGCATATTGATTAAACAGAAGAAATATACCAGTGGGATAAAGTCATGATTGAACTGCCTTGTTTGCCTCCAACAGTATATGTGGGTGTACCTAGAACTGTACAAGCCTGTTTCACTCACCTTTTAGGAGAATGAGGCTGAAGGAAGACAGCAAGCTAATAGCAGAGATTTATTTAAAACAAGACACTTGAATTCACTCCAATTTTCAGCACAGAAATTCTGAGAGGTACCTCAGTACCTCACATGATTATAAATCATGAAAACCACATGTTTGGCATGTTGTATTTACTGAGCCAGCAGTCAAGTCATTTTGTTTAGACAGGTTTTTTAGACAAATGGTTATAACCAGTAAGTTTGAACATTCTGGTTAATTGTGATTTTACAGTATATTGATATATTGAAGCACTCTTGCCAATTTGGTACAAGAGCTACCTCCTACCACTAAATTGATGATACAATTCTTAGAATGGCTGTTTATACCTTAATGTGAAAAATGTAAACAGGTATAAATAATGTTTTATGTGTAAGAATGCTTGCTTCTAATATCTGGTGCTTATATTTTTTGGTATTTATGTAGCTTCCCCACTTCTGTTGTGTTGTTTCCAAAGAAACTATGAAATTGGAAAGGTAAATTTTTGCCATAGGTACAAAGACGTCCTTAGACTCTGGAGAAAGAATCTTTAAGGACTCTAATGTGTGTGACATTAATGGCTTGCATTTATATTGCCCTTTTATATCTAAAAGCAAGTCTGTATCATGAGTTTTGTAGTTTAGGGAAAGTAGTATTTGCCCTTCTGCTAAAGAGGAAGAAACTAAGTTATAAAGATGTTAATGAATTTTCCCAAGATCACAGAGCTAAGTCCACTTTATCTCCTGGCCCAGGACTCTTTCCACTAGAGTGGAAAGTAATGAAGGTGACAAATATTCAGGAAATATGTCTTCTCTTGGTTTTAAAGAAGAAAAAGAAATCAAGAAATTGAGGGCTTCTGAAATGAGTGAGTCCAGGCCTGCTGCTATCAAATTTAGGTGTGTTTTATCTTAATTTAGGTAATTCTGCTATCAAATTTGGTGTGTTTTTTCTTAATTTAGGTAATTCTGAAATACTGCTTTGTGACTGAGGTCTTCTCTGCCTTGATAGCCCAGATACTTTCTTTTCTATCCCTAAAGTAATTGCAATTAACTCTTTTTTAAATCTGTATTTCAAATGTATTTATACCTAGCCTTTATTTCAAAAAAATCTGAAGCATCATATCAACAAAAGATACGTATCTTGATGTCAATAATATATAAACAGAAAAGCAGTAAAACAAGATCATTGAAATTGGAAATGAGGATTAAGAAGTTGCTATTCTTGGGTGTTATATTTTGACTCTGAAACTTCTGGCCGCTTACGCTAAGAGAGAAACAAGTTACACATTCCTCTGTGGGTAAGTCAAGAGCAAGCTAGCTCCTTAGCGGAGACCTTTTTCCTGATTAATTTGGTTAAATTTTTCTTAATGGGGAGCCCTATGAAGTACTAAAATGAACAAAATCTTCAACAATAGTTTGATCCACATTTGCTTATTATGATTGTGCCTTGAATCTTCACATAGTATCAGCTTTCTAAGGTTTCCATTTTCGGGCTGTTGAGTTTCTTTTTTAGCGGGTGGGGCAGGGTGGGTAGGTTGATTGGTTTTATGTGGGTAAGAAGGCTTTTTCTCACATAAGAATTCTTGTCCTAAACTAAAAAAGTATCTTGTGTTCAGCTTTGAAAATCCATTTATAACATGGAAAATCTTTTCCCACTTCGACAGTTATATAACGTAAAGTGTATGTGTTGTCATGGGATTGACCCATTTATTTTTTATTTGTTGGCTATTGTTAAGTGCCGCCAAGTCAGTTCTGACTCATAGGGTTTCTAAGGAGTGGGTAGTGGATTTGAACTGCCAGCCTTGTGGTTAGCAGTCCAGTGCTTATCCTATAATGCTGTACCACATGGTGGTATTTTTCACAGTGGAATCTAGTCTAAGAACTGCATAGCTCTATTTTTGTTAGGCCATGTCTGGAATCTCATTAGACTCCCGAATTGTCACAGCTCCATAGAGACCAGAGATATGATATGTGAGCGTTGGTCTCCATACTATCAAAGTGTTTTGTCCTGAGGCTAACTACTCTGCCTTTGTTCCAGTCATATTATTCAACCACTCAGTAATCCACTCTGAGCCTTTGGGTCTCCAAAGGTCACAACAATGTATGTACGTGTGTGAACGCATATGCATATATACGTCATTACTTTTGTTATTACTGGTTTTTTTTTTGTTGTTGTTTTATTACTTCTTCTATAGAAACTGGCTTGTTTAAGCTTTTTATTTCAAAAGGTGTCAGTTTTGGTAAACCATATTTTCTTAATCACAAAAGATTAATCTATATGTCTTCTAAATTTAGCATTGTGCTTAGAAAATAGCAGTCACCTCCATATTGACATATTGTTGTTAAGGTCTGTTGGGTTGATTCTGACTGACAGTAACTCTGTATAGAGTTTCCAAGGAGCAGCTGGTTGGTTTGAACCACTGACTTTGTGGTTAGCAGTCCAGTGCTGATCCTACAATAGCACACCAGGACTCCCTATTTACATATATGAGTATATATCTTTTTCTACATGTTCACTATTTCCACTTTTAGACTTTTAATTCATCAGAGATTTATTTTAGAGGAGGATGCTAGGAAGGGCTTTACTTTTAGTTTTTGAAAAAATAGACAACCATTGTCACAGCAGTTATTAACAAGCCATCCTTTGCTTTCTGATTTCAAATGCTCCCTTTATCAAAACTGTCTCGACAAACCCTATGCAGGGCCACTATGAGTTGGAACTGTCTCAGTGGCACTTAACAAATACTGGTTTGTTTTTTGTTTTTGTTTTTTCTTTTTTTAAAATGTTTTATTGTGAATTATATGATAGTTTACATGAGAGAACCTCAGTTCCATATTCATTCCATCGTGTATCATTTCATTGCCATGGTTCCTCCATGCCTCGTCTTCCGACCAAAGGGCATATCCTAGAAGCCCGTGCTCTACCCTCCCCCTTCCCCGCTCAGTCTTCGGCCCACAGTTCCTTTCCCTTTCTGGATCCAAAGTCCCCAGCCGCTTCATCCCTCCTTGTCATCATCTCTGTCTCCATCTCAGGCATCCCCGGTTCTCTGGGTGGGGTCCCGTTCTTGGCTCTTATCTGTTGGTGGTCCCAGAGACCTCCGCTCCTAGATGGAGAAATAATTGCTCTCTTCCTTGCTACAAAACCTCTACCCTTGCATTTCCAACACTCATAATCCGTCTTGATAACCATTATTCACTACAGTATCGCATGTTACCCATCTGTATTTCATTTCATCAGCTCCACCTAGACAAATTCGATAGTGATTCTGCCTTCCTCCATGCCCCCTAGCTCTAGGTTCCCTCTTGAAGGCTTGTAAGCCAGTTACTTATTGTCTTTGTAGTCCCTCCCTCCCCATTTGGGTATCCAATGTCCAAGTTGCCCCTCTATGTCTACTCTGTGTGTGGAGGGGGTGGGAATGTTTCTTGCTGTAAGGATTTATTGCCTCTTTGGTGTCACTGCATTTGTATGCATAGGTCAAGTTCATCAGCTTGGATCAGCTCAATCTTCTCCACACACACACACCCCCGCCCCCTTCTTTCTTCTCCTGGTTGAGCTCCGATCATCCAGTCATCCAGTCCCGGTCATGTGTGTTATTACTGTTTTAACACTTTTTGTTGGTAGTTTTTTGTTTCCCCCTCTCCCTCCACTTAAAAGTTAGACCTATAGTGGAGTCTGTGGTGAAAGAACAAATAAATTACTTGAAAACAGCTACCACAAAGACCAAACTGAACATTTAGCCTTTCCACAGTTACACGTCTTTCTTCAATTCTGTATACTTTGTCTGTGGCCAAGGCTTTGTATTTTTCTACTGTATTATCCCGAAGGAAATGGAATCTTTTCATCTGAAAATGTTGTGGTAAAATCAAACCTGATTTATGGTGTAAATTGTCT